TCAACTAAAGTCTTAATCGTATTTATTCATCACTGGTGACTTGAAATATACCCCTCTACTGTTTTATTAAAAATTTAAGTACAATAATGCATCCCCTAAACAATTTATTAAAGAAAAACGTAACGTTTAAGTGGTCTAAAGAGTGTGAGATCGCATTTAACAAGGTCAAGTTAGAATTCGGAAGCGAAAAGATTCTAGTTCCCTTTAATCCAAAATTACCTCTAATACTCGCGGTAGACGCTAGTCCGTACGGAATCGGAGCAGTCCTCTCTCATAGGTACCCCGATGGTACTGAACGCGTAATACAATACGCGTCGAGTTCGCTATCCGAAACACAAAAGAAATATGTCCAAATCGACAAAGAGGCATTAGCGATTATTTTCGGAGTTAAAAAATTCCATCAATATTTGTATGGAAACCGATTTACCCTACTAACAGATAATAAACCGTTAGCTCAAATTTTGAATCCACAAAAAGGCCTTCCAGCGTACAGTGCTATGCGTATGCAGCATTATGCTGTTTTCTTACAAGCCTTTAACTTTGATATAAAGTATCGTAAATCAATAGAGCATGGAAATGCGGATGGCCTGTCACGATTACCCATAGAAGGAAAGAGTGAGGGAAATTTCGATGCAATTGATATTTTTCAAGTCGAAAATATAGAAGCATTACCGGTAACTGCAAAAAGAATTAGGGAAGAAACGAGCAAAGATAGAACTTTAGCAAAAATTTGAAAAGCCTTAGTAGAAGGCAAAAGCCTTGTGCTGTTATGATATAATAATAGCGAATTAGCTTTACAACATAACATAATTTAAAAAAAAGATAGGGTAGTGATCCCGGAAAAGTTACGCGAAAAAGTATTAAAAGAATTACATTCCGGACATTTTGGTACCGTTAGAATGAAACAATTGAGTCTAAATTTCTGCTGGTGGCCGAAAATAGACAAAGATATTGAAAATGTAACAAAAAACTGTGAAACATGTATGCGTTTTAGCAATAATCCCGATCGTAAAATTAAACACCATTGGGAAACAGCATCCGGACCATTCGAACGGGTACACGTAGATTTTGCAGGTCCCTTCATGGGGCACATGTTTTTTGTATTAGTAGATGCCTATACCAAATGGCCGGAAGTACACATAGTAAATAACATGTCGGTACAAAGTACCATAGAAAAATGTAGAGAAATATTTACCACGTTTGGTTTACCGCAAACCTTAGTTTCCGATAACGGTAGAACATTCGTATCTACAGAATTTAAAAAGTTTTTAGAGAATAACGGTATCTATCATAAATGTACGGCTCCGTACCACCCAGCTACGAATGGTCTGGCGGAGCGTTTTGTTCAAACATTTAAACAAGCATTGCGTAAATCAAATGTAACGAGTAGTAACATCAGGACGAATTTGCAAAAAATTCTATTCCAATATAGATTAACTCCACATCCAGAATTAAACAAATCACCAGCAGAAGCAATGTATGGTAGAAAGATAAAAAGCAGATTAGATTTAATGTTGCCGTTAGCTAATAAAGATAGAGTTACATTAGAAAATAACAAAGTAATAAGAAATTTTGGAGAGGGCGAAAGAGTTGCGGTACGTGAATATTTAGACAAAAAAGTCAAATGGCGTTTTGGAAGTGTAATAAAAAAATTAGGTAAAATACACTACGAAATTAAATTAGATAATGATAAAACTTGGAAACGCCACATAGATCAAATAAAAGCGATAGGAAATAAGATTAGCGATAAAATACAACACAGCGACCTCGATCATAATGGTCCGATAGATGAGATAGGAGATACCTCGACGGAGGATAATAATATTTGTAAAACCAAACCCATTCCGAAAAACTTCGGCTCTGATAGCTCGAGACAGTGCTCCAAAGATTTGGAAATAAGAGACTCCAAGGAAGGACAATCTGCTAATGAAGCCCACGTTCCACATGAAACAGTCCTACGTAACACTAGGACAGTCGGTAGCGAGCAAAAAAAGGCGAATGCAGAGGCCCGGCCTCAGAGAGAAAGACAACCTCCGAACAGATACGGAAATTATTTAGCATCGTTTTAAACTAATCATTATTGTATTCTTTTCTCCTGTGCGAGCGATTGCGTTTAATTTACGGGGGGAAGAGTGATACGTATGAGAAGCCGCGGACCAGGTGGGAAGCGAGATCACGGCGTATCACGAGCAGCGATAGGCCAAAAGTATGGCACTCCCCTCTCCGGAGTCCACGCTGCCGGGATAGAAAAGCGGAGCATATACTTTGCGACGCGCTCTCCTGTTTGAACCGTCGACCGCCGCACGCGCAAAATACAGATAGTTTCGTTTTAAAGAATTACAGTGTTAGTTATTCCACCCCGCCTAAAAGGAAAGATACATCACCGGTATTAGGTTGTAAGCCTATAATGCT